ACCCGGCGTCGCTGGGGAGGGTCCGGCGCGGAGTGGCATTTCCGACAAGTTCTGGGTTTAGGAAAGAAAGTAAACACTTTTAATATTCTTTCGGTTGCTGCTTGAGGATTGAATGCAGGCGAGAATCAGCTGCTTCTTCTTCTTGTCCCGCAAAACCATGGAGACATTTGTACCAATTCGACTGTCCACAAGACCTCGGTGCAGTCGCGCCCAGAACTGGCCGACCCAATCCGGCATCTGCTTTCCCAGGTAGATTTGGTGTGGGCTCAGAGCAGCCGCACGGAGCTGCAAAATGGGAGCCTGGCAGACTACCACAATGCAAGCAAGCAAGGACAGCGAGAAGCACAGCACTGTCCCAGTCAAGAGGCTGGCAGTGGCTGTCCGGAGTCATTGCCGGGAAAGCAATCCAACCAGCTTGTGCCACAGACATAACCGCCCAAGAGCCGGGTGGCCAAGATGATGTGGCAGTTCTTCTTTTCCTTATCATCAGGCTCGGCAGTCACGTCGAGGACAGGGTCCGTCAGCCAATGCAGAGTCTTAGATTCGCAGCACAGGTAAACGATCTGAGCGGGCAGATGTTCGTAGAAAGCAGGCTTATGCAATTCGTTCAAGAAGGAAGTGCAGCCGTGGATGACAATGTCTCGTCGGGCCCTACACACCTGCAGGATTTGCCTCTTCAGAGCTTGCTTCTCCTCTGGACTGTCACCCAGAATCACAATGCAAGTCGGCCCCGGCTCCAACGACTTGCTGTGCCGGGCCATCTGTCGCCGCTCCATTTGGGACAACTGCTCGGCATTCCGAAGAACTTGCTGCTCGAGCTCCTTAAGCTTGGAAGCACCTTCGTGATGCGGGCCGTGAATGAAAGCTTGCTGCCTTTCGCGGGCTTTCTTCTTGAGGGCAAGGAGCACATCAACCTGCTTCTGCGACGCACGATCCTGCCATGAACGAGGTTGCACCAAGCATTCGGTCGAAGCAGGACATGCAGGACAAAAACAGTGCAAACACAGTCCTGGGCTGACTGCTGCGCCACGGTGTCCAGGGCCACCATGGTTTCGACCTCACGAGCTTCCAAAGGCTTGGAGAGCTCGTCCGCCAGAGCTGCCACCTCACCGCTTCTGCGACGATCGAAGGCGTTCATGCCTGTTGATCGCAGTCGTGCCTTCATCAGCCGACGGGGGAGATCCTGAGACTTCGTGTTCTTCCCCTGGCCGCCGCGCAGACGACGGTAGGTGTGGAGGACACGGCTGCAAAAGGGCGTGGCTTCGTAGCATTGGCCAGCCCCGGTTGGCTTTGCTATCCTTAGCAATACGACACAGAGTGTCACGAGGCCGGTAATGCCTAGTAGAATGCGGCGTGGCAGACGAGAGTCTCATGCGGCAAAGGTGAGTCACAGAAGGCCGGGTGCAGGCTGCTGGGCTCCTGACGGATGGCGCCAGGAGCAGCAGGAGGCCGAACCAGGCACCTGGCGGGGCAGAATCAACCCCCCAAATCAGCCACTGCAGCAGGCCTCTGGCACCTTCGGGGGGTTCGAGGGTTCCGGGATTAGGGAGTAGGAGTTTCAGGGTCGTAGTGTGCAGGGCGTTTAAGGTCTTAGGGTTTCGAGCGGTTTAGGGGCATAGAGCTTAGGGCTTAGGACACTGAGGGGCTCAGGACGTTCGGTGTTTAGGCCCTCAAGGGTTAAGGGTTTGCGGGTTTTCAGGTGTAGGGCTTTTATGGTTTATACAGGGCGTAGGGTTGTCCCCTAGCTTACAAGCGAAACCAACCCTATAATCCCTATAACCCACCCAAGCCACCCCCTCCAAAACACTCAAACCAGGAACTTGGGGACCATCCATCCCCCACCCCGGGGTCCATCGGACCCCACCCTTGGGTCCATCGGACCCATTCCCTGGGGACCATCGGTCCCCGTGAACAAAACCTGAATTCCGAAGTCCTTGAAAAACCCTATGAATCCTATAAGGCTTATTATGATAAACCTTACAAACTATTTATTTAGTTTAACGGCGCCGGCGCCACGTCGATGGCGTCGAAGAGGTCGTCGGTCGTCATCAGGACACATGTAGGGGTAATTAAGGGGTTTGGGGGGCTTAGGGTTTAGAGCTGATAGCTAGTAAGTGCTCAAGGCTTGGCAGTGGTTTGGGGTTTTAGGGTTGGTTCGGGGCGTAGGTTTCAGAGGTTTAGGACTCAGGGTCTTAAGGTATGGTGGGATTTAAGGTTAGAGATTTAGGTTTCAAGGCCGGGTTCCTGGTGCTCCAGGGTTTCGGCTTGACCCTAAGTTCAGGAGGGATTCCGTTGTTTGGGGTTCAAGGTCTGAGGCTGTTTCGCTATACATCCAGTGCTATGCAAACGTCCCCTGTAAGCCATATACTACAGAAATAAATCACATACAATTAAAAAGTATTAAAGTTTCCACACCAAAGCCTAGTTTAGGGTTTATAGGGTTTAGGGTTTATAGGGTTTAGGGTTTAGGGTTTAGGGTCAAGGGTGCAACCGTCCAATGGTCCAAATGAAAATGGTAGTTTCCGAAAATTATATAGGGGTACCTTATTTTGGGGTCCTTATAACAAGGATCCTACTATCTAGGGAACCATATTAGGGTCCCCTATTTTCGGAAACCCCCGAATAGGAACTAACCTTGACAATCTACCCTCTATCAGGCACTAGGCCTAGGCACCCACTAGTTGGGACCATGTACCCCTGTTTGAGTGTACTTGGAGGGTTCTGGACGTTGGCAGGTATAAGTGGGGCTTCTGCTAAACCCCAAACCCTAGACCCCTAAACCCCAACCCCCTGTCTTATAACAAGGATCCTCCGTTTCGAGTGCTATATTCGGGTCCCCTATTCTCATAAACCCTAAACCCTAAACCCTAAATCCTAAACACTGAACCAAACCCAAAACCCTAAACCCTGAACCCTGGGCTCCGGACATTGGGCGGCAGAAAGGTGCTATCCCGCAGGAAGACCTGCTGAGAGGAGAAGTTTAGGGACTTGAGCTTGGATGTAAAAGGTTTACTTCGACCTACCGAAACCTATCTTTTTGTAGGCCTGACATTTAATTAGGGCTTTGAGATTCTCAGGAACTAATTTCATATTTGTCGGGGGGGAAGGCTTTCGGATGCTACCGTACAGTAGTAGACTCTGAAAGGAGGTTACACCTGCCCCGAAATCCGACTCTCAGCCCAGCTGAGACACGTCACACCGCGAACCGTGGAAGATCCCAGAGTTTCTTACAGCTCCTAAACACATGGGGTCTAGGGTTCAGGGTTTAGGGTCTGGGGTGGTTTAGGGTTCGGGGTCGAGGGTTCAGGGTTTAGAGAAAAGGCAACTGTGGAGGATCTGAAAGTCTCGTAATGTAGGGGATCACTGATTTAAGGGCGCTTGTCTAAGCATCCTTCTAATTTGGATTCTGCAACTGCCTTCCGTAGTTCTGAAACGCTCACTTCGGCAGGGCGGGGGAGTTTGCGGGGCTTCGGGCTGAGGCTTCCTTCGAGGTTCTTGGGGAGTTATAAGTGGGGTTATATGCCCAAGATGGCTCATAATTATAGCTACCCTACTGACAACCCTACTTATAACTACCCATGAACCTGAAGTGCAAGTTCCCAATCCTACGGACCCAGCCGTGCACCTCGAAGTATCCTGACTGCTTGTTCAGTCTCGGAGCCTCATTTAGAAGAGCTAAATCAGAATGAAGAATCAGATTATGACAATATAAGTATCTCAAAACCAACATTACTCCAAGTTAGATACCAAAGAGAACCGAGCCATAACTGCCTGCGAAGTTTTCATCTTCGTGTGGTAGCAGATCCATCGGTGGTTGGTGCGGTGCCTCTGGTTTAGGGCTTTGGGTTTGTAGGGTTTAGGGTGTTTTCGGGATTTGAGGGGTTTTGGGCTAGCGGTTTGTTTATATGGTTTCGGGTGTAAGGATTGGGGCGGCGGGTTCGGATCGCAATTGGTACCTTGGGCTGGATGTCCCTGTTTGGAGTCTTTGTCGCAACTTTGGGTTGCCGCTGCAGGTTCCAGGCGCGCAGGGGTTGACCCAAGCCCTGAAATGTAGGAAGCCTGTCTGGTGCTTTGTAGGGAATGCGGGAATGGATCCCTCTAGTAGTCCCTATGTAATCCCCAAAAATAGTCCCCATAACCCATTGCCTCATTCCCTACTAAGAAGCAGACAGAAGTGTAGTACCTGCTTTGTTTCATTGTAGTAAGGATGTTAGGTAACCCGAACAGGCACTGCAGGGTCTACGTAGGCTGGATTCAAGGCGTACAGTCTGAACCATCGGACACTATGCAGCGAGTTTCGGTTAAGGGTAGGCATAGGCACGGCTGTTCAATGGCACAACTGCCAAGACGCCAAACCCTAGCACAACCCTAAACCCTCAACCCGAAATCCTAAACCTTGAACCCTAAATCTTAGATCCTAAACCCCAACTCCTAAACCTTTAAATCCCAAACCCTAAATCCCAAAATCATAAACCCTGTAGAACTAAACACTCCTAAAGCCCCAAACAGTTGAGCTGAATCGTGGCATGCACCACTTCTGGGCGTCCCTGCAGGCCCTCGATCTTGCCATGACCTTGGAAAGAAATGCGCTGGAATTACCTATAGGCTCCGTTGTAGTTCCTTTCGGGGTTCATATTTAGAACCCTCTCAGGTAATCCCCAAAGGGAAATACCATCGAGCCCATGGGTAAGCGTTTGGGTTCCATTCAAAAATTCATTCATAGCCCTAAGAGGATTTAAACCTTGAGGGCATGAGGCTATGATGATTCTATTCAGGGATTCAAGAAAGAGCATATGCCTGCTAACTGTTTCGTTTATCTATTTTCCTGCAGCTCGAGTCTTTCACAAGATCGCTGCGTCAGCAAAGTGCACAGTACTGTACCATTGCCAATGAAGCCCCTTTCTGTCATGGCTGAGATGGTCGCAGTCACGGGCAAAGCGGCCAACTCCATGTCGAGTTTTGCTTGTTCTAAACAATCTCCTCCTAAGGTCCTATCTACTCTACCAAGCCTCTTCAGCGTCTTCTCTGAGCTCATACATGTCCCAATCGTGATGTAAAGACTTGTGGTACGTGTTTGCGGCCTGCTCAAGCTCAGCCAGAGTCGTCACAACCTCTTTCTCCAGCATGTTCTGCACCTCGTCTAGGACATGCGTGGGAACGCAAACACACGGTGGAACGAACTCCCCTCCAGCTCTTCGGCGATGCACAAACTTTTCGAAGTCATCACGTTCCTGCTCTAGGCGAGAAGTGAGGGCCGTCTTGAGCTTCTGGTAGGACAGGATGAAGCCCTTTTGCAAGACGATCTTGAGGACATAGCTTTGCGCACTGAGAACATTCATCGTGGCTTCTTCCATGGCGCAGCCAGGAAGAGAGCGGGATGCAAAACCCAAGCGGCCGAAATGGCTACAGAATAGTGGCCCGAATGGATTTTTTTGCAAGGTGATCTCTCACAGCTGAGACTGACACAACAGCACATCTCGAATCTAGCTTCGCTCCTCTCCACTCGTCGTGGTGTCCTTGTGGTCATTGAAGTTGGGAAGACTGCCGTGAAACATCCAAGCGTGGTGAAGCAGGTTCTCCCAATGGTAGATTTGCCCGTGACCCCACTAGCTACATGTTGATGAAGAGTTTGGCGTAAGTTGACAACGACTTCACTCCTGGTTCGCCTCTGGACGGTACCCTGTACTGTGGCAGATGACCTTTCGAAGTTCTCGTTCAGTGAAGGTAGTCCCGGGTCTTGTCGTGACTCTTCTAGTCATTGTTGGGGGGGACTACCAAGTTGGAGTATGGGTCGTTAAGGGTTTGCAGGCCTCGCATGGCGGAAGCGCGGTGAGGAAACCTCTATCTAACGCAGCCGTGCGACCCCTTAGAGTTCTGAGTAAGCTGCGAAGGATCGGCTCTTGGGCTTATAGAATCTACGGTTTACATTAAGGACAGAAGTTCTCCCACACCGTCCCTAAATCCTGAACCCTTTCAACTACAAGCCCGAAGCTCTAAACTACCATAAAACCGTCAAATTGAGGCGTGGGCACAGCGATCCAGGATGCAGCTTTAACCTGGGATGTTCTAGGGCCTTTGATGATTGGAATAGGGTTCCTTTAAGGGTTCCCGGAAGGATCTATAAGGGATCTACAGTGAAAAGGGCTTTAGTGATTGCTGTCCAACTAATGATTCAGTTTAAGTGAACCGAGGGTTTAGGGTTAAGGTTTAGAGTTTAGGGATTATGAACTACCTTCGTCAGAAACTCAGTATAAGATCGTGCGCTTAACGAATGTAAGTTCAATCATGATGCGGGACAAGCCGCATAAGGGTTTGTGTTGTAGGCTGTTGGATTTGTCAGCTTGGGTTTCAATGCCATCTCGAAGCGATCCACAAGACGTAAGCTCCACTTCCCTAAACCCTAAACTCCAAGGGAGCCATCTCCTAGCAAACCCAAATCCGCAACATCTCGAGCATCGAAACAACGAAATTCTCGAGTCTTCCGGCCCACATCGTCAAAAGAACTCAGCCGCACCCGAATTCCGAGAACCTCACGCTCACTCTCCAAGCTCTCCCATGTATGTAGGAAGTTTGATAAGTGATGCTAGTACTAATCATTCCGACCCCTGCGGTAAGACAATTCGGGGCGCACTGAAACTGATCTTGTCCATGCAGAACCACGGCAAGCTGGGGCACGAGCTGCTCCGAGCCAGCGGACAAGAGTGGAAACTTGTCGGTAGCCGACTGCAGACGGTTTAGGGTTTAGGGCTTTGGGTTTATAGGGCTTTAGGGTTTAATATTTAAGGCTTCAGGATTTAGGGCTTCGGGTTTACAGGGCTTTAGGGTTCAGATGGAAGTTTCCAAAAATAGGGGACCATGATGGTACCCTACATAGTGGGATCCTTGTCATAAGGACCCTAGAATAAGGTACCCCTAATTTTCGGAAACTCCCACATGATCGTCAACCCTCATTCTTAAGACTGGAACGATCTCATGGCCCCGTCCCCTCTGGGCATGCTGCTACTGAACCAAGGCAGCTGTTGCAGAGAAGAAGCTGACAGATGCCCCACAACCCCCTTTGTTTGGAGTACTGAAGAGGATCATGGGACTTGGAAACCCTGAACCCTAAACCGTGGCCATGTTTGGAGATAGAAGTACCCTAACCGGAGTGATGCCCTGTTCTGTTTTTTGGCTGGCGAAAACTACCTGAAGCCAGCATAACCGACTGCACCGACTGCTTCGTAGGTCTTATGATCAACCCTAGTCACAAATTTAAATCATAGGGAGCCTGCAGAAGAGCAGGCTTTGGTAGGTTAAGGTATTAAGCACCCAGAACTGAACGTGCGGATTGGTAGGGTCCTCCTCAACCTTAGGCCCTAAACCCTGAACATTTGAACCCCAAACTCCAAAACGGCCTGACCGAACACTCCCCAACTGCCTTGAAACCACTCTGCAAACTCCTTAACCCAAACTGTCCGAACCCTTAAGCCTTTAAACCAAGAAACCTTGAAGCCTAAACTCCCTCAATCACTAAACCCAAACTCCTTACACTCCGGTTCCTTCCCCGGCCTTCGGTGGGTCCAAACGCGCTACGTTGGGGTAAAGACCGGCCAAGAGCAGCGCAGAGACCATGTGAACGGAGGTAAGGTCCTTCAGGGTTTGAGTTTGGGGGTGTAAGGTTTAGCGTTTAGGGTTAGGGTTTGGGGGTTTAAGGGTTCAGGGTTTGGTTTAGGGTGTAGAGTTTGGAGTTTAGGAGACCATGTGAACCGAGGTAAGGTCCTGCGAAGTCTGAGGGCTTTCAAACTGTGTATAGGGGGTCTCCATGCTTGGAACGAGTTGTTTTGTGTGGGGCGGGAGTCTTTTCCCAAATAACATGTTAGCCTTAAAGCCCGAATCCAAAAGACCTGAACCCCTCTCTCTCTCTCTCTCTCTCTCTCTCTCTCTCTCTCTCTCTCTCTCTCTCTCTCTCTCGGGCATGAGGGACGGTCAAGTCCCCCGGGCAGCATGCCCACCCGATGTGCTATCGGGTAAAGGGGTGTGACAATCGAGTATAGATCACAGTAAAGGCTACAGCCATGAAGTATGCGATAACAGTTCACCGTGATCGTATACTCTCGACGACACATGCATGCTGAGTTGTTTCCCCCTTTTGATTCAGGAAAAGCAAGAACTCTCTCTCTCTCTCTCTCTCTCTCTCTCTCTCTCTTTGGGCCCAAAGCTCCTCCTCTGAACCCTAACGGCCTGAAAGCTCCGAGCCTCCAGCACCCTGGAGCCCACAAGAGCAAACACCCCCATTAAAAGGATGACTTAGTAGGTCGGGTTAAAAGTTATAAGTATACCATCGTAGTTTTACCCACTCCTAGCCCTGATTCAAGGTACTTGCAGCCCGACTTACTACGGTTGATGATACAAATCCTGCATTACCCATATTAAGGAGTATACCATTATTCCCATAGTTCAGGATCCTTAAGGTAATGCAGGATTAACATCATCAGCCGTAAGTCCCATGATCCTCCAGGCAGATCCCTACACCGGCAACCTAAAAGCCCCAAAATCAGCAGCTCGGAGACCCAAAACCCACCTTTTCCAAGAACCGATGGACATCCCCTGTCTCAAGAGTTTAGGGTTTATTCAGGGTTTAGGGTTTAGGGTTACCGAAGACCCCATACACCCCAAAACCCTGAACCCAAATACTTGGAGGTTCATGGGTACTTATAAGTAGGGTTATAAGTTATAAGTAGGGTAGCCATAGCCCATATCAGGGGACGTATAACCCCACTTATCACTACCCATGAACCCGCCAAATAGTCCTAAACCAAAAAAACTCCAAGCTCAAAAGCCCGGACTCCTAAAACGGCCTAGCCTTAGGCAAAACGCTCTGCAACATTGGGTTTCGGATGTAGGCCCCCAGGTTCCGAATTTGGGGGCTTAGGCTTTAGGGTTTCGTATGTAGGCCTAAGGGCTTTTCGAATTTAGGGCCTTGAAGCTACCCATAGGCCCCAAAGTAGTTCCTTTTGGGGGTTCGTATATAGAATCCTATAGGGTAGTCTGTTGTGTTGATCAACACTACTTTTACGGCGTGCCTTGGGGACTCTGTGCTGCTGGGAGGTGCTTCTAAAGCCGTTGAAAAATATTAGTAAATAAGATCCTCTTCAGCCCAATAAGGGAAAATATAAAATGTCCCAAAGCCCTACCTAGAAGGGGCTTCACAGTGGCTTAGCGCTTAAGGGGTTGAATGGGTTAAGCGTTTCATAGTGGGTGGGCCACCTTCATCATTGGAACAAGGTTTCGTGGTATCTTGCTGTGTGCTACTAGCCGCCACGGAAGGGGTCCAGTGCTGCTCATCCCTACACCGGCATGCACAAACCGCGGCTCCATGATCAATCAACCGTGCCCTTCCATTTCCATGCCCCAAGCCACAACTCACAAACGGAAGGCCTAAACCGAAATTCTGAAAACCTTAACTCTAAACCGAAACCCACATAGAATCCCTACACCTTGCACGGAGATCGACCCCAAGTGCCCACACCTCGACAACAAGACCCGACACCCATGCGTTAAATGTAGCAGAAGGAAGGAACCTCTTCAACCAAAAGCACAGGAAAGGCCCTGGTTTAGAGGTTTGTTGTTTAGGGGTTTAGGGTTTATAGGGTTTACGGGTTAGGGGTTTAAGGTTTATAGGGTTTATGGGTTAGGGGTTTAGGGTTTATAGGGTTTACGGGTTAGGGGTTTAGGGTTTATAGGGTTTACGGGTTAGGGGTTTAGGGTTTAGGGCTTAGGGATTTGAGGATCATTGTTCCTAAGGTCGACTCCTGCTTGGGTATCTCAGACTGGGAGAAGGTTTGGACGAAGCCATCACCTGCAACGAGCTTCCGCAGGCCTCTATAAGAGGGCCGGGCCGGGTATTCGGATTAGCGCTTAGGGTTGGCAGGGCGGGAAGTTGCGAGAGGCTTCGGAGGGAGGGGTGGCGCCGGGGCCTTATCCCTGAACCCCTGAACCCTAAAGCGTCATCACTCTAACCATCTCTACTGCACTCCGGATCTACACCGTAGGGCCGAGATTAGGGTCTGATAGTTCCTCCAGCAACATAGAGATTACAAATTTCAATGGGGTGTGGCGAAATACTTGGCTATACTGCATGGGTATATTCGGGTCTCTGGGGGGCATAGTTCTCATGTGTTCTGATTTGTATGCAGTCTGTAGCACGCACCTTTACAACCTGATTTGGCAATCTACTAGAGATTTATGTCAGAGTTTAGGTCTAGGGTTTACGAAGAAAGAAGCATGCCCCCCCCCCCCCCCCGGCCCCTAAACCCTGATGCCTCCGCAAAGAAACGGTTAAATCGTAGCCATGCGACGACGACGACGACGACGA